TCCTTATTTACATTTTTAGTTTCTCACACCAGAGAAACTATTTGGTATTTACACATGTGTGTCCTATTTATTTCACTTAAGAGTATGGCCTTAATGTGTATCCATTTAGCTAAAATGTCTCTAATTTCTCGTTCTTTATGGCTGAGTAATACTCCATTTTATTAAAAAAATCAAATCTTCTTTATCCAGTCTCCAGTTGATGGGCACTTGGGCTGTTTCCAAGCTTTAGCTATTACAAACTGTGCCACTATAAACATGGGTGTGCATATATCACTGTGGTATGATTCTTTTAATTCTTTGGGGAAGATACCCACGAGAGGAATAGCTAGGTCAAATGGAACATCTAGTTTTAGTTCTTTGATAAATCTCCACACTGATTTCCACAGTGGTTGCATCAGTCTACACTCCTAGCAGCAGTGGAGAAGGGTTCCTTCCCCCCACCACCCGCCCCTCCAGCATTTGTTATTGGTTGATATCTTGATAGCAGCCATTCTTTCTGGAGTGAGATGGAATCTCAGTGTTGTTTTAATTTGCATCTCTTGAATGACCAGTGATGTTGAACATTTTTTCACATATTTATTTGCCATTTCTTTTTTTTCTGATACCGGGGATTGAACTCGGGTCCTTATGCTTGTGAGGCAGGTGCCAGAACCACTGAACTAAATCCCCGGCTCTCTTATTTGCCATTTCTAATTCTTATTCATTTCACAACTTTTAAAGTAAAATTAATTTGCAACACATTTATTTCAGATTAATTTAACTTTAAAATAATTTCATACTTACAAAACAGTTATAAGAATAATACATGTGGGCTGGGGATTTAGCTCAGTGGTTCTGCTGCCTGCCTCACAAGCACAAGGTCCTGAATTCAATCCCTGGTACCAAAGAAAAAAAAAAAAAGAAGAATTCATGTAATCCCACAACTCTGGAGGCAGAGGCAGGAGTATTGCCGCAAGTTCTAGGCTAGCCTGGGGTACATAGAGAGTTCAGAGACAGCCTGAACTACAAACTGAGATCTTGTTTCAAAAAAAAAAAAAAGAATGATACAAAGAATTCATTCAAAGATCTTATTAACATTTAGCCCACTGGAGCTTGGGGGTAGCATTTGTCTAGACTGTGGGAGGACCTGAGTCTGAACCCAACATGGTAAAACAAAATAAAAAATAATCAGTCCATTGTCCTCAAAATATATTTTAGAGGGACCAGGGATTTAGCTCAGTGGTTCCGCTGCCTGCCTCACAAGCACAAGGTCCAGAGTTCGATCCCTAGTACCAAAAAAAAAAAAATATATATATATAGATAGATAGATAGATAGATACACACACACACACACACACACACACACACACACATATATATGTGCACTTCAGAGCAAGAGGATTCATTCTAGGGTCTCTTGAGCAACAAATATATATTGATTACCCACTAGTACTGGATGATTTAACCATCTCCTAATTTGTTACACTCTTCCTGTCCTATAGTTCCATATAGCAACTAGAGTGATCCTTTGCCAAGAAGTTAGTTATTCCCCTTTAAAATCCTGCAGTATGGGCTGGGGATTTGGCTCAGTGGTTCCGCCGCCTGCCTCACAAGTATAAGGTCTGGAGTTCGACCTCCAGTACCAAAAAATAAATAAATATATAAAATCCTGCAATACTTGTCTATTAGGTTAAAAGTAAAATAATAATAATAATAATAATAATGTACTCCTTTTTCCACTGTCCTCTCCCATTGTTCTTATTGCTTCAAACATATGTAGTAGTATTGCTTTACCCCTCAGACTCTTTTTTTTTGGTACTGGGGATCGAACTTGGGTCCTTGCACTTGCGCCAGTCCTTTTTTTTTTTTTTTTTTTTTAAAAAACAAGGTCTTGCTATGCAAGACTGGCCTTGATCTCACTATGCAGCCCAGGCTGGCCTTGAACTCTTGGTGATCTTCCTGTGTCAGCTTTCCAAGTGGAGAAATTACAAATATGCAACACCATGCCCAGTTTTTTTTTTTTTAAGTAAAATTTTATTTATTTTTTTGTAGTGTTTTGTTTTTGGTCTTTTGAGACAGGGTCTCACTATGTGTAGTCCAGGCTGGGCTTGAACTCACTATTTACACCAGGCTGGCCTCAAACTTGCTTCTATCCTCTTGCCTCAGCCTCCCAGGTACTGGGATTACAAGTGTATGCCACCACTCTTGATACATTGTCGGTTTTTAAATATCCATCATCCCAAGGGCCAGGGATTTAGCTCAGTGGCACCGTGCCTACCTGGCAAGCACAAGGCCCTGAGTTTGATCCCCGGTACCAAAAAAAAAAGAAAAGCATCAAAGAATCATCCCCTTCTCTTACTCTGCTGGGACTTTTTCCTACCATATATGACTTCTTTTTTTTTTTGGTACCAGGGATGGAACTCGGGTCTTTGCACTTGTGCAGCAGGCGGCAAAACCACTGAGCTAAATCCCCGGCCCAAAATATGATTTTTTAATCCACTGTAAGTAATTTCTTTTATTTATTATGTTCTTTCTTTACTAGAATATAAACTACAGGTTGAAGATAGAATTCTTTTCTTTTCTTTTTTTGTTTTGGTACCGGGGCTCGAACTCAGAACCTTGCTCTTGGGAGGCAGGCAGCGGAACCACTGAGCTGAATCCTCGGCCCCGAAGATAGACTTCTTCAGTGTGTTCTCTTGAGTATTCGAAGTACCTACAACTATACCTGGCAGGTAGATGATGCTCAATCAATAATTATGGAATAAATACATGGTAAAGGTATTTCAAGTGCCAGGTACTATCCTTGGCCCAGGGGATACAACAAAAAAACTCCCTGCCCTCATGGGATTCACAAGGAAGCATGCTTGAGCCAGTAGCCTATTTTCTAATCTTGCCTCTGCACTGTTTCTTGTGAGATGTGGGGCAAGTTAACATCTCCAAGCTTTGCATTACTATCTTTATCATGAGAACAGAACACAGGAAAAGAAAAAAAAAAACCCAAAACCCCAGGAACTGTGTAGCATGTAGCATAGGAAATACATCTAACATTTGTTTCCCTTCCTTCCTGGCTGGAGTCCTGGGAGCCTGACATCTGTGCTATGGGTCTAGGTAAGGCCTTAAGAAGGCCTTGGAAAGTGTGAACAAGTTGCTTTAGCTAACTAGGCTCACCTAATTTTTAACTGTAGATAGTTTGTTTGTTTGTTTGCTTGTTTGTTTGAAGCAAGGTCTCCCTTTGTAGTTCAGGCTGGCCCTGAACTCACTATGTAGCCTAGGCTGACCTCTAACTCATGGGGATCCTCCTGCCTCAGCCTCCTGAGTGCAGGGACTACAAGTTTGGGCCACCACGCCCAGCCAATTGAAGATATTTTGATGAGAGACTGCTTAACGGTCGGAATGAAGAACCAGGAAGTTGAGTCTAGGCCCTAAAGTTACTGACTTTGCAATGTTACCTCGGAAAAGCCTTGCCGGTCCCCTGAGGTGACTCGGGTGAAAGACAAGGGGGAAAAAAACAAAACAAAACAAAAAAAAGAGTAGTTGGCCACAACTGAAAACTACAAGTCCCAGAATCACTGCGGCAGATAACTACGGGTCCCGGAAGATTTCGCTAGCCAGATCGAGAGAGATCTCTTCGGGCCCGCAGTCTGGGTTCTTCCCGAGAGGGTGAGGGGCGTGCCGAAGCGGCGGCAGGCTTTAACGTCACTGCGCAGACGCCACCAAAGGGCCGGACGTGACGCAGGGAGAGTTCCGGCTTCGGCCTCCGCCACAGCCTCCGCTGCTACAGCCGTCGGCGTTGCTACCGCTACCGCAACCGCGGCTTGTTATTCCTAAAATGGCGCCGCTAGACCTGGACAAGTATGTGGAGATAGCGCGGCTGTGCAAGTACCTGCCAGAGAACGACCTGAAGGTGAGCCTGGCCGGAGGGAGCCTGCTTGCGGGGCTCGTCCCTTCCGGCTGTAGGGCGCCCGCCGGGCCGCCCTTCCTCTCCGCGGGACCTCTGTCGGATGTCCCGTCCGGTCGCAGTGGAAGGGTCCCCGCCGGACGAGGCGACCTAGTATGACTTATCGTCTCCAGAGAGCAGAGAGAGCCCGAGTCCCTCTGCTGCTGTCCCGGCTTCATGAGCAAGGACCCCGAGAGATGTCGCGGCCTCTGTCCTGAGGTCGTTCCTCTTGGCCTTCGGGCTGTCCCAGAACGCGGGGCCCTGGCAGCTTTGCTTAAAATATTCTTCTCCCTGCTTCTCCCGATGCCCAGTTCCCGGAGAGTCGGAGCCGAGCCCCAGCGGGCAGTGCTGTCAGGATAGGGTCGTCGCTACCAGAGGTGACAGGCGCGCGGAGTGACCGGCATCTGACAGGAGGTGCTGCCCGCTCCTGGGACGCGCGGTCCCAGTGTGTTCTGGTCCCGGCGGTGGACCTGAGCGGTTTGGCAGTGATGAGAGGGAATGTCAAGTTGCCCCTTTCCTTAACATTCTTCTCAGTTGCTTCTTAGAAGTGCTTTCTTACGCTAATTCAGATGTGACCCCCATTTCGGAGAACGTTGTTGAACTAATTTAAGTGAATAGAACGTTGTCACTGAGTACAAATATTTCTGTCCTTTCTCCATAACTCCTTCATTGAAAATTTCATTTCTTGGTTTTCTAAAGGAGATGACTTGTTACTGTCCAGATAAGAGTAAAAGTAAACGTATGGGTAAAGGAATAAATGAAAGAGTGAAAGAATGTAAGCCTTTAGTATACTTTGTTTTCGAAAAATGTTTTTTGTGATTTTGCTAAAACTAGTGCGTAAGTTTCCAGAAGTGTTAATCACTAGTGCTGGTGTCTGTTTTATTCAGTTAAGGATGATTTGCTATGTGTTAAGTGGATAAACTGTTGTTTGTGTCCTTTTTATACTTTAAGCTGTGAGTTTAGAGTAGTTTATCTTTCAAGATAAAATTTATCTTAGTAAATGATTTTTCTTAAGGAAGGGTATGTGTGTTTTTCTATCTGGTACAGGAAGTTGATATTTAACAATAGTTGTCAAGTTGGCAAAATATGTAACGGCTCCATCCCCAGTACCAAAAAAAAAAATGTAAGGCCACCTGTGCTGCTGGGTGTAACTATACTTACATGTTATATGTATATAAATTGTATATGTTATAAGGGAGTCACTCTTGTGGATTTTCCCCTTTTTGGGGGGGGGTACCGGGGATCGAACTCGGGTCCTTGAGCTTGCGCAGCAGGCAGCGAAACCGCTGAGCTAAATCCCCGGGCCCCCTATTTTCCCATTTTTAATAGGATACTTTAAAATAAGGACAGAGCCTTTGTTAGTAGTTTAGCATTCACGTTCATCTGAGTCTTTCAGTTTAGTTTTGTGGCATCTTTGTGTTATTTGGGGTTTTTAA